CCATTTCTGGATTTACGCTTTTATAGTGTAACTGGCATAATTGTGTCTCCCTTTCGAAGACTCCAGCCATTCTATCAGAATACAGGTAGAGCTATCCTCAATCTTGTAACAAAATGCTTCGGAAATGTTCCATCATGTTTGAAAAATGTTTGAAATGTTTGTCTCATATCTTGGATAGAAAGAACCCATCCCACCCCCCACCCTTATTTCCCGTTTGTTCAAACTCGGCTGTCTCCGGGAGGGGGACCCAACATCGTCAATTAGACTAAATTGTAAGTACAGTATTAGATAAAAATTTATCTGTGTACAATAGGCTGATTGTACATCTGCACAGAAATGTTTCTTCGTTGTCAAAGAAGTAACAATCAAGACGAAGATCTATTCAGCAACACTAACATTGCATGCGTGTTCCACTTTTCGTTTTATCGGTAGTCGTGAGCATTTGTAACTTGATATCTGCAGAAATGACATTTGATAGCAGCACAACACAAATAGATCTTTTCAGTCATAAGATATAAAATAAGCAACGGCAGCAAAAGTCCAGATTCAAAATGGCCACCACATTGAAGGGTTTGGGGGTGGTCGGTTCATGCCTTAGTTAGAATCCCTCTCGTCAAAATAACACGATCCAATGCTGGGCCTCTGACAGCGCCCCTTACTAAAGACATTGAGATAGCTTCATGTTGCTTAGGCTTTTCTGTAAAGAGGTGTGCATGAGGGAACGAACAGTATCACTGGACGCATCAGTCTGTGTGTAGTTTTTATACAGCTTTAATCTATCGTGTGATATTTTACTGTCGGGTTACTAACAGTATACGGCGTATTTTTGTGGATAGTGTAATCTGTATAGATTTGACCGAGGATTTCTATCTGTACAGGAGATTTTTTATCACATCAAGATGATGTTTGCCTTCAGTATTTTTCCTCGAAGCTACCAACATGGCCGCTATTTGAAATTAATGTGTAAGGCCAATTAGGACAAGAAACATGAATCTAAGGAAGATATTTACTTAAAATTCGTAATGGTGTAATCAAAAATATATGGGAGTCTATGTACACATATGGGTCATGATATCATTATTATTTTCTTTGATATAGTTTACGTTTTGAAGAAATTGCAATCTTTGGTCACAAACTAATGATTATCTAAAAATCTTCAAACATTTATGTGTTTATCCATAATAAAACGGCAGATAAAATGTGCCCCTTTCTGGCCGAACGTTTACATGATGTTTCTTTAGAAATTACTGCTTTAATTCAAAGATTATTTAAGTCCAGATACTTGCTTCGAATTTTAATATTTCAGTTTTGCGAGAAAAAAAACATTTATTTATCCTCAATGCCACATAGTTACATGTACTCTTTATGCTGGTTTAACAGATAGTCTCGCGTGTGGGTCAAGTAGTACCTGAACAGGGATACTCTAGCCATACAGTACCAGAGATTTTATTAAATCGTCGACAAGCCATTTCGATAACAAAGTGATTTCGTTCAAAGCAAAGTTTGCTTGACCTTTCGAACTTTCTGTTTATTTGGCTCATTTAAGAGCAATTAAGTCAATGCAGATGGCAATTTGCGTATGCAAGATTCAGTATTAGTGAAATTTTCTAGGAAACACAATTTCCTATAGTATTCCATTATTGTCACAGCCCGTGTGTCTTTGCTTCTGCACTTTTATGATCCAAAGAACAGGGCAACATTTGCGTCAACTCAGGTAAGTCCCCTTACATAATTCACAGGAAAAACAACCGCTAGGGATGTTTGGCGACAGTATTCTATGAATTGTGTCACCATTTGACATTCTTTTTATCTGTGTGGTATAAAGAATGTGGTACTCTCAATATAGTGTATAGATCCATGAAAAGCACGTATAAGGTGTACTTTTCTACATCTCAACTTGTTGTCAGTATTCTTAGAATCGTGTCACCGTTTCACTTTTCCTTATATCTGTGTGGTATAAAGAATGTAGTACTCCCAATATAGTGTTCTTCAGAGATCCATGAAAAGCACGCATTGAGTAAATGCATTTTTCAAAGATGAGTCCAAAATTTAGGTACATCCGATGAAATGAATGTAATCCAAGGATCTTATGTTAGCGTTTTTATTGATGCCGTTCATAACGCCAAACATATTAAAGTGCAAAGTTAGTCACGAAAAGCGAAAAATTATGGTAACCTATGCCTTATAGTTTTTTTAATTATTTCTCTGACTACATCAAACAAATAACGATGGACTGCAGGGACAAATGCTAGTATTGACCGGGGATAATTACTTTGTATACCCTCACCACAACAGCACGCCTCGTGAAGGTAACAAGGAGAGAATAATGTCTTTTGCACTTTGAACAATAACGCAGTCATAATTAAATTTGTGAGAAATGTACATAAAGCACTTTTAAACAACTGGTATGAAGAAAACGGCCCGCACGCTAGCAAAAAGAAGACGGTGGAAATAATCATCGAGGTACAAAGAAACAGGTCTGAAGTACCACAATGCCTCATTGTGTAGTTAAATCATTTCTTCTTGAGTTCCAAACTATAACACAGATAATTAGAATGTAAGAAATGTACAATAAATAGTTATTTTGAGCAACTAGTACGAATATAACGCCTTGCACGCAAACATGAGGAGACGTGTAAAAATAGTCCCCGAGTTACAGAGAAACGCGTCTGAAACATCCTTTTAAAAATAAGACTATCATATGATATTCTCTATGTCAGCAATGCATCTGTATTTACTTCTGTACCTAAAGACAGAATAGAACAAAAATCAAATCGAGCTTAAACAAATGATTTAAGCTCTAATACATCTAGTACTGTAAGGAATGTTTGAAACTCTTTTTAAGTATCATCATAGGCAAATTTTACTCTTGCTGATATTACCAAATATGAAGATGTGTGGATAATGTACTCTTTAATAATGGTCACTTCAACGGTGAGCAATCGGCAGCTTTATAATCCAAATTTTACCAAGTTCTTTCCTTTCTTCGCCTGACATTCAGTAATGATTAGGATTTCTTTAATTTACTAATCATTTTAATCTATGGAAAGAGCCTTTAACAGATCCCATTCCTTTGAAAAGGAGCAAAGCCACGATTAGGCTTCCTTTCGATTCGTCCTTTTCGCATAGAGTGTTGGTGATCAAAGGTAGTTAAAAAGACAAGACTGGACGGAAAACGAGTTGTAGATAAAATAGGACTGTGGTATGCTGCGTGTATAATAGCCAACATATACTGCTCAGAAGAAGCGGGGGGAAACCTTAGAAAAGCAGACATTAAAAGGAACGTTTACTGTTCAATAACTAAAAACGTAAATAGAATAATCGTCAACCATCCCTTTATTGAATCGTGCAATGTGTTTGGACTTTTCTATCAATTATCATTGATGAGAATGAGAATAAAAAGGCAACTAGTCACCATTCTTGCAGTGCTCAGCGTCTGTGACGGGTTTCCAACGCCAAACAAGCAGTTGTGTGTCTTGCCAGTAAGACAGGTCGCACCGCCTGGAGTCTTGAACAGACGTACCCTCCCCTAACTCCTTCTGACAGTTTGGTCGTTATGTTAGTGCGAGTGGCCCTTCCGGGGTGTATTTGTAGATTTCTGGCACTGACAGTAAGGTTCTGTATGTCAGAAAAATAAAATGCAATGGTCCTGAACTGGGGATTAGACACAAGGTCTCACTGACCTGGGTATGTTGATTTACTCCTTGTTACCGTCAACCGCTGATTCAGCTAATGGATTACTGAAGGACCTACATGTACATATAGTCTTCTGGCAGTGATACCAAAACCTGCATTTGATAATCTCACTTCCAGTGACGAACCATTGTGTTATGGCATTACTATATAATGTATCAGTCTAAGCTCTTACAGTGTGATTCTTACTCACATAGATGAATACAGGCATGCTATGTATTCGTCAGAACCTCAGCAGGGTGGCCAAATAATTTCACCTATTTTTATTTGTATTTCCCACCCCCCTCCAAAAAAAATTGTAATCATTGCTTCTAACGAACGCAAATTTTATGTTCATTGCAACATAGTTAAACCAGAAATGCCATTCATTACGCAATGGTGACTTCGTCTTAGAATTGCCAAATTTTGATAAAAGTAGTCGAGCTTTTGCATCTTAAATGGCGGTTGTTCCATAACTTCTTTTAAGTAGAATAATATCCAGATTATACAGACAATCAATGTATTTTACATACCAAATGAGATTTACCCATTTTCATAAGGTAACTGAAATTGGTATTTTTGTTCATTTTTTATGTTAGTGGTTATCAAATCACCTTCGGTGACAGGTTATAGATAATGCTACCTTAACTTGCAGAGCTCGGTATCTACATGTATAACAACATCCCCTGACAAGAGCGACATAAAAGCCACAAAAAAAGCTAGATAATTGATATTCGTATCTCTAATGGCAGAAGAAATTGGACTGACGACCATATCGAAACTCCCGAAAGTCCTCGTTGTCTCTGCAGCAATATTAACTATAGACTCTGTGCAATGCCTAGAAACTTAAAATAAAGATGTGACGTTCTTTTTAAATCTTATGGGACCTCACAATGCAAATATCCATATATCATATACTTGTGATAAATTCATTTTCCCCGAAAATAAATCTGAGCCAGTGTTGGCGTGCTCTATCATCTCATCACCTCTGCATTAGATTCGACGGATTGCCCACGCAAGTAATCGTCACAGCGACTAGTAAGTCAGGAGTCATTTTAATCGATCACAGCCGAGTAATATATGATCTTTTTGGAAAAAAAGTAACGTAAATACCACTAGATCACAGTTGAATGTAAGGGAATGGCGTGTGTTTGATTGATTCTAAACCTCTCTTGCTCTGTCACTTGAGATGTTAAACCGTCGACCAATCAGGAGGAGTGTCTTGGCGTTCCGAGAGACGCGGGGATCTATGATGACGCAGATTAGTTTGCAGCAAGACTCATAAATACCGCTGCGCTCTTCACTGAAGACAATTGACTAAAGCTGTCGACTGGAATGATTCCAGCTTAAATTTAACTTGTAGAGAAGTAGATGATAAAAAAAGCATTGCGTTGACTTTGATTGTAACGTGCAATTAATAAATCCAATTTGGTTTTTATCTGAAAAATCAAAACCATGGGATTGACTTATTTATTTGAGAATCTAACGCAGCTAGATGCTGACACGCGGGTCCAGGGCGCTCCTATAGACATCACTCAGGTCAAAAATGGCCTAATGGGTGACTCACCTACCAATGTCACTTATTCGCCAGATCAATTATCAGGAGATGCGTACGATTACAGCATCTATTATTACTCTGGAGTAAAGAAGACGGTGCCGGTATGGGAAGTTACGGTGAAAATCATCGCATATCTCTGTATCATCATTTTGTCGTTAGTTGGGAACCTGCTTGTTATAGCAGTTGTCTTGAAGAACAGCCGCCTCCGAACTACGACAAACTACTACATCGTCAACTTGGCAGTTTCCGACTTAATGGTAACTTCTACAAGCACGTGGGTCCATCTCGTGGAAAACTTGACAGAAGGATGGGTCCTTGGGGCGTTCTTTTGCAAGTTTAATACATTTGCCATAGGTAAGTCACACAAAGATACAACATGCTTGAAAAAATATAATTAATCATTGTACAGAGGGCAATTTTTATACAATAATTACATGAGGCTGTATATCAACTTACGATATAAGAATAATTTTATGTTCTCTTATTTTCAAGTATAATAAACTTTTGAAGATAAGCTTTACGAAAAATTGAAAGTGCCGTCAAAAATCACTTACTGACTTATACACGCCTTTTCTTTATTATGAAGTTCTGAATCCCACTAAGGTTCAAACTCTCCCCTCTGCATTGTAACAACTCGTAAGAAATAACACCCTTCTAATTTCTCTATGAATAAAANTTGTATATCAGCTTACGATATAAGAATAATATTATGTTCTCTAATTTTCAAGTATAATAAACTTTTGAAGGTAAGCTTTACGAAAAATTGAAAAAATCACTTACTGGCATATACACACCTTTTCTTTATTATGAAGTTCTGAATTCCACTAAGGTTCAAACTCTCCCCTCTGCATTGTAACCACTCGTAAGAAATAACACCCTTTTAATTTCTCTATGAAGAAAAGGACAGTAAAACTAGAATACCATATGCATAACATTATCCAAAATGTTACTCCTCGTGTCAATGCTGTGTAAAACATATACATGTTCGCTTTGTTTTTTGTTGAAATTTATCGTTGTCTCTACACACACTGGACAATAGAAGTGTCACCGATACTGAACCAATACTTTGGGGGAGATAAATGACTGTGGAATGATATGCTCCTGGTATCATTTTATTAACATCAAATTTCACAAAAGAAACGGTTCTGACTGAACATTTCAACTGTTTCGGTATTCTGACATGGCTTATATCCGCCTCTTCAGGTTAATAACTTTGATTACTGTGATTCAGAGGGTGACACTTCTATTGTCCAGAATGTGTATTTTGGACATGCAATATTGATACATGTATTATCATCACCATCACTATAAATGTGCCATCCACAGAGTCCACTTTTACCACTTATTATGAACCACAATGACGTATATTCCTCATCGGTTACATTTCTATTAGCGGAAAATAATATTATATAAACTTTGCATATCATGTATTTGGAGAAAATAGCAAAAGTAATGATTTAAATTCACAGAAAGGCAATTATTCTGCCTTTGGGATAATTGTTTCATATGTGAGTGTAATACTTGTACCCATCAACCTTAGAAATTTTCGTGCTCAAAGATGTGTGATGCTTTTGAAAAGTATCGCGTAAATTATTAACGTGTCCTCATACGTGCTATCACAAACTTTGTACAGAATGAGTTTCTGTGATATGTGTAACTCTTACAGTGAACAAGGTTGCAATTTAGAAATAAAATACACCACTCTGCTCTTGCTGTCATGTTGTTATTTTAAAGGGTGATTTAAAAACGTCACATTTTACCAGGAATCTAATTGACGTGCCATACTGTGTCGTCAATATGTGACAATGTCAATAATTTTGGGCGGGTACAAGAAGAGCAACAATATCTCTGCCAGCATGCAGGATTCTCAGTGACAACGGCGTTTAAAGCTTAATGAAAATGCTTACTTGTGTTCGTGACTAAAGACAGCAAGAAAGCTCAGGTTGTTCATGTATCTGCGTCATGCCACCAGCATCGGCTTGTATTTAGCGAACAATGGTCACGACCGCTCCCCTGTTTTCAGGTAGAAATGTGAACCACAACTAGGAGATAATTTCAGATTTTTTTCCACCTCACCTGAACACATGTTCGTACACGTTTATGTCCGGTTTACACTGGATGCAAACATTCCGCGACCAGTCACTAGTCGGTAGATTTTGGTTATTTGGTAATTGCAAACTACACTATGTTTACCAGACTTCAGAACGGTTGGAGAACGATTATTTGCAATAACCTCGCCATTATTTGTAGCAGGAAATCGTTTGATAGATGCTGCATTTCTTTAATAAATAATGCCTTTTCATATTCTAGACTCGTATATGATACACGATGTAACGGAACGTTTTTCTTTATACAACACTTGTTTAATGAGGCCAAATAGAAAAATATGATTTTTGAAGATACGGGGAAAGATGTTTCTCAAAATCTTTCTCTGTCGTGTATTTCTTTATGTTTGGGATTTATGACACTGGCTAAGAAAATGCCATTAAAGTTTCACAATTTTTGATTTGTTATTCCACCTCTAAATGTTTCCCGATATTCATGTAGGCCTACCAACAAAACAGTTGTCAATTGGAAGAGGCAGAATTTTTGTCCTTATCAGTACAGCGCACATATTTTGCATTCTGCATATTTACGGCCCTAACAAGAAAAAAACCTAATATGGTATGACAGACAATTCCTTTTAGACGAGGCAATAAACTTTCTTAAAAATTAATTACAGGGGACTTAAGTATCATTACCCATACCCATGGGGCCTACACCGACAGGGTTTAAGTCTATCATGAAGCAATTAATCTAATCCAGGTTAAGGAGCGTTACATTAAGTTTACGCATAAAACGATATCATGACCCACAGAAATGTGAATCGCATTACATGTATTACGCTTGGTGTTTTTTTTTCAGGAAGCCGTTCATAGGCGGTCCTAATATACAGAATTAATTACCTCTCTGAATGGCTTCAGCATGCAGTTCCATTGGTTATGAGGCCAGCACCCTCAGACCGGGACTCTATAAGCTTTTTGATGGAATGTATTAATTTACATAGACAAAGACAGAAACGCCACTGAGAGAACGCCCCAATGATTACAATCTACACTGCTAGCGTAGCATTATTTTGTCCGAATCAGATACTATACGGCCTAGATAAAGCTTAGTTTGAAAGAGAACTAAGGGTTAGTGTAAATACTACATTTCATTAACCTTTAACAATGTAAATTTGAATTTAACGTGGATATATTCGAATCAATGTTACAGTTATTGGAATTGATTTAATTACAGAGTAGAAAACACAACCATTGCCTTACCTGCCATTTGATCATTTTTAAAGTATAAAGCAATTTTCTCCCGAAACGAGTTTTAGAGCATCGTAATATATATTGCAAATGACCCAGACAGTCACCCGCCAATGGAACAGATTGTCTGGAATAATTTGGAGTTTGGCGCGTCAAGGCTGTTTACTTTCATAGGTAAACTTATTCCTTAATTCACATCCTGGATTCACCACTACACGACAACTATGACAAATGATATTGCACATTTATATTCATACTTGTATCCTCAACGACCAAGTACTATAAAAACAAAGAATATTATTTGCTGGATTTGAAGCTAGGAGTCGTAACAAAGTGAATGAAAAATGTGTGTGAATATGTAAACGTTAATTATGTTAAAGTGATTAGAATAGGCATACTATTTCAGGTCCGCTTAATTGCTGCGTTTCATACAGTTTTCTCCTAATTCAGTAGATTGGTTATGGCGCATTGAAGGCGTTTATGTTTCCGCACATACATTAGTATGTCTTTAAAAGACGTTACATACCGAGAGTTGGACAAAACTTGGGAACATTTGCTTCCTGAGAGAGAGAGAGAGCACAGGTTTGAATACTATTCATAATTCCTTTCTAGACATTTCTACGACTCTATGTATCGACCGTCGTAGCAACATTTGTCACATGAATACTGAGTACCAGCTGTTTTCATTCCCCATTGCCAGTGAACGTAAGACCTGCACCTCTGTAATGACTCCGTAGGGTAACTGACTAATGAACCGTTGGGGATTTCTAATTTCAGAAGGTTCTCAGAGTTACAGAGACGTTGACATGAGATACAATGTGCTGTGCTAGGACCAATTGGGTTTTTATACTGAGATAACATTCGGTAATGCTCAACGCGTGTTTTAAAATTCACGCATGCTCACTCCCTTTTTATGTACAGACACAGNCTGTATATCAACTTACGATATAAGAATAATTTTATGTTCTCTTATTTTCAAGTATAATAAACTTTTGAAGATAAGCTTTACGAAAAATTGAAAGTGCCGTCAAAAATCACTTACTGACTTATACACGCCTTTTCTTTATTATGAAGTTCTGAATCCCACTAAGGTTCAAACTCTCCCCTCTGCATTGTAACAACTCGTAAGAAATAACACCCTTCTAATTTCTCTATGAATAAAAGGACTGTAAAACTAGAATACCATATGCATAACATTATCCAAAATGTTACTCCTCGTGTCAATGCTGTGTAAAACATACATGTTCGCTTTGTTTTTTGTTGAAATTTATCGTGGTCTCTACACACACTGGACAATAGAAGTGTCACCCCTACTGAACCAATACTTTGGGGGAGATAAATGACTGTGGAATGATATGCTCCTGGTATCATTTTATTAACATCAAATTTCACAAAAGAAACGGTTCTGACTGAACAATTCAACTGTCTCGATATTCTGACATGGCTTATATTCCGCCTCTTCAGGTTAATAACTTTGATTACTCTGATTCAGGGGGTGACACTTCTATTGTCCAGAATGTGTATTTTGGACATTCAATATTGATACATGTATTATCATCACCATCACTATAAATGTGCCATCCACGGAGTCCACTTTTACCACTTATTATGAACCACAATGACGTATATTCCTCATCGGTTACATTTCTATTAGCGGAAAATAATATTATATAAACTTTGCATATCATGTATTTGGAGAAAATAGCAAAAGTAATGATTTATACTCACAGAAAGGCAATTATTCTGCCTTTGGGATAATTGTTTCATATGTGAGTGTAATACTTGTACCCATCAACCTTAGAAATTTTCGTGCTCAAAGATGTGTGATGCTTTTGAAAAGTATCGCGTAAATTATTAACGTGTCCTCATACGTGCTATCACAAACTTTGTACAGAATGAGTTTCTGTGATATGTGTAACTCTTTCAGTGAACAAGGTTGCAATTTAGAAATAAAATACACCACTCTGCTCTTGCTGTCATGTTGTTATTTTAAAGGGTGATTTAAAAACGTCACATTTTACCAGGAATCTAATTGACGTGTCATACTGTGTCGTCAATATG